GCAGTGAGCTGAGATCGCACCACTGCACTCTAACCTGGGTGACAGAGCAAGACTTTGTCTCAAAATGAGAAAAAATAAAAATGGTGGGTACAGTGGCTCACACCTATAATCCTAGCACTTTGGGAGGCCGAGGCAGGAGGATCACCTGAGATTGGGAGTTGGTGAACAGCCTGACCAACATGGAGAAACCCTGTGTCTACTAAAAATACAAAATTAGCCAGGTGTGCTGGGGCATGCCTGTAATGCCAGCTGAGGCAGGAGAACTGCTTGAGCCCGGGAGGCAGAAGTTGCGGTGAACTGAGATCATGCCACTGCACTCCAGCCTGGGCAACAAGAGCAAAGCTCTGTCTCAAAAAAAAAAAAAAAAGATAAAATGAAAACTTGATCCAGGTGCCCAGACAACACTTTAACTATGTATTCTCCTGTATTTGCAAGTAACATGTTCATATAGCCATCTACAGATACCAGTTAGCCTTTGTAATCCATTCCCCACTTAAGTTTCACCATCTACTGGCTTTTCTGTTAATTTCTTGAGGAAAGGTTTGGGACTGAGGGGTAAATCCTTTGTAATTTACACAGGAGAATGCTGCAGGCTCTTCACCACTGACCAAGCTTCCACCGGGCCCTCCTGACTGCAGCAGGTAGCACTAGACAGTCATGTAAATGGACTGAGTCTGTAGAAATTTCCTCCAAAAAAGGAGACGTAATGGCTTGTACTTTCTATTCATCGTTTTGTGGACATAATAGGAGTTTCTCTAGAATATTTTTTGATCTGGTGGTTAAAGGAACCTTGGACATTTAGGACCTGAAATAAATTGTTGCATCTTTGAAGGAAAAGATGAAAGTAGTTTCTTACACTTCAGCGAAGAGGACTTTGGATAATTTTGTTCTGGAAGCTGTATAGTCTCTGTAGAGGAGTGCTGGGGATTCCCCAAATCTGTAGAACTAAAAGGTAACCGAAGAGAACAGAGAGTGACATGTCAGATTGAGAATCAGTCTTTTGAAAGTGGCGGATAGAATAGGTATAAAAGAATAGGGTAGAAGATATTAACTCTGATTCCTCTCTCTCTCTTTCTTTTTTTTTAATTCCTTGGGAATGATTTCTTCCCACTTAGACTGCCAGTGTTGCATGATAACCCTGGCCATGAAGAGAGCTGGAATACTGAAAAACTGCCTGAAACTAAGCATTGTGGGTCAGGCAGGGTGGCTCATGCCTGTAATCCCAGCACTTGGGAGGCCAAGGTGGCCGGATTGCTTGAGCTCAGGAGCTTGAGACCAACCTAGTCACACGATGAAACCCCATCTCTACAAAAGATACAAAAATTTGCCGGGTGTGGTGGCATGCAGCCGTAGTCAGTCCCAGCTACTCGGGAGGCTGAGGTGAGAGGATCACTTGAGCCTGGGATGTGGAAGTTGCAGTGAGCCATGAGCATGCCATTGCACTCCAGCCTGTACAACAGAGTGAGACCCTATATCAAAAATGAAAAAACTTAGCACTGTGGATTAGAAAGGAATAATTTTTCATCTTTACATGTTTTTTTTTTTTTTGAGACTGAGTCTCGTTTTGTCGCCCAGGCTAGAGTGCAGTGGCACAGTCTTGGCTCACATAGGCAAGGTGTTTAATGAATCTGTGAAAGGTGGAGAATTTAGCACCAGGCATGGTGACTGGTGCCTGTAATCCTAGCTACTTGAGGGGATGAGTTGGGAGTGTTAAAGGTGGGGGATGTCCAGGTTCTTGGCATCTTGAACAAAGAATTGGACAAAATGCACAAACACAGCAAGGAAGGGATGAAGTGATTTATTGAACATGAAAGTACCCTCCACAGTGTAGGAGGGGCCTGAGTGCAACAGTTGAAGGGCCCTGTTACAGAATTTTTGGGAGTTTAAATACCCTCAGAGGATCCATTGGTTATTTCCGGTATGACTTATGTAAATAGAAAGGATGAGGTAAACTTACAAAGTCATTTACAGCCTATGCCCTATGGAGAGAATATTTCCTGTTATAGCTGAAGTGTGAATAGGTCTTATGTTCCCTGGATCCAGACCAATTTTTTTTTTTTTTTGAGATGGAGTTTCACTCTTGTTGCCCAGGCTGGAGTGCAATGACGTGATCTCGGCTCAATGCAACCTCTGCCTTTTGGGTTCAAGCGATTCTCCCGCCTCAGCCTCCCAAGTAGCTGAGATTACAGGTAACCACCACCATGCTCAGCTAATTTTTTGTATTTTTAGTAGAGATGAGGTTTCATCATGTTGGCCAGGCTGGTCTTAAACTCCCGACCTCAGGTGATCTGCCTGCCTCAGCCTCCTGAAGTCCTGGGATTAGAGGCGTGAGCCACCTCACCTGCAAAAAAAATTTTAAATAAATAAATGAAAGGCAGAGTGTTTATCTGAAAAAACTTGGAGACTAACAGTCTCATGGAATTGTTATAAAGATTAAAAGAGAGAGTGTTACTGAAGTACTTAGAAGAGCTGTTATTTTATTTCTGTTCTTTCCCCTTGTATTTGGATAGATTACCACACTTGTTTCTTCTATGTAAGTGTGGGGGTTCAGTCAGGATGGTGGGAGATTGTAAAATTATAATAGTCACAAACCTTCTTTGAAGGCCAGAAGGTTTTTGCCTTGGGAAGGAGGTTATGGCTGAAGGCAGCCTAATCCCCTTTCCTTGTGCAAATAACATAGAGTAGACACAAAAGAAAGTAAGGGAGTTACAAGTTTATCTAAATAACTTGTTTACTGATGTGGTGCTAAAACTAATCTTTAATCATTCATGGCTGGATGACTCTTTGGGGGGAGGGGGAGGAGAGGAAGGTCCACCAGGGAAATTACCCTCTAATGGTGTTGACTCAAAGCCTTTGT